GGGGGGGGGGGGGGGGAAGCAGTGCAGACACATACGGTCACGGGATGACACTGCAGGCCCAGGGCTATAAGCAATTCACTGGTGGCCAAGTCATCAGAGCAACCGGCAGCTGGGTGAAACCAGTTCTAGAGGTAACAAAGAACAAGTATGCAACATACATAAAACACTCCATAAACAGTAAATTAGTACATAATGTGGAACAATGAACTGGGGAAGAGCAAGGTATATTTTTTACAAACAGATGACCCCAAGACTGAGGGAGAAATCATGATCGTACCCCTCCATGCGACTGTAAGCCCTCTCACCTGCAACTTCAGTCATTGACCCTAGGACCCAAAGGGGCATTGGAAGGGGTAGACATTAGAAAGTTCACATCGCTGAACTGTGTATTATTTGACTTATAAGCATTAGCATTGTTGTAACTGGACAATAAATCTTGTGGATTGGACTGCTAAAACATTGCGTGCAAGTTCCTTTTGCTGGTCCAAGGAATGAAACAACCTACTCTAACTTGGATGCAACTGATTGGCAAGGGCAGACGGCAGCGATACAGATGACATCCTCATTTTGTTGCCATCCTGAAGTCCTACCACTTCTCCCATCACCCATAGCGTTTTCCCAACTGGTGGGTTCTGGTTCTCCAGGGGAACTGGGGAAAGCAGAGGCGGAGGGATGCAAGGGAAATAAACCCCATGTAAATTCAAGACCCTCGATCATCCACACCACTTCAATAAAATGTTTCAACTTGGCTCAGAGACAGCATCTACAAAGAAGGACACAGCAGCTGTGCTGTACCATAAAATGCCTCGTGGCATCTTTTAAGCAAGTTGCTACGTTGGCATTCGAAGTTGGAAGATCTGTAGCTCTTTGAATCAAAGCTGCTCTGCAAGATCTCGAGGCTTCGCCACTTCAGCATGGCCTAGATGCTCCCACGCAGGCGGGGACAAATTCAAAACGGATTTTTTTTGTCCTAACATAGCAAACAGCTTTCATTCATGCCTCTAGGTTGGGATGCATGAAAAACATACAAGCCAGAAAGCTGGGTACACTTTACACTTCACTAGGCAGTATGTGGTCAGAAGGAATTTTATTTATAAAAATAAGGCCTGAGAAGCCCCAAGGCTGAAAGTAAAACTAGACTTCGCTTGGGTGGGGGGAAAGGGAGAGGAAAGCTGGCCACGATTGGCACGGAGAACACAGATCTAAACCATCTCAGTCTGCTGCCCTGGCATTCAACATGTGGCATGTTGTTTTCTGCTCTCCTTTAGAGCGGGCCAACAGCAGTCTCTCCCAAAGCAGACGAGGCAGTTGTGGGCTTGGTGCAGAGCTGGCCTGCGCCACGCAGGGGCGATGGCATGAGGATTACCTAGGGGAGAGTACCAAAGCACTGGGCTGCTTTCCTTAAGCCTCCCAGGGACTTCCCACCATCTTGCTGAAGGCTTCTCGCTATCAAATACACCTTTTTTTATAAAAGATTCATGGTCCTACTTGTGTTTATACCCAGATATCAAAGCATTTTACTCCCATTCTAACAGCCTTCAACATCCGTCCACATCACAATACACCATGACTTTTCTTTGGCACGTGGCTGAGGCTCCCATCTGTCCAAGTTCCCCCCGGGTCATCTTCCACCAGCCGTTTCCTGAAGGCAGCTTGCTCTCGTTGTTATTTGCCTGGGATTTGTGGATATGCTGATGCTCACAACACAGCTGGCCTTACGCAGATGTTGTGCTCTGGTCACATCCAGGTGTGTAATGCCCTGGCACAAGTTACTCCCTAGGCCGCCAGCACTGTAGATACACACACAGAGTAAGGCTGTATTTTGGGAAGCCCTCAATGGACCAGCCGCATACGTGGTGCTCAGCCAGCACACAAGCAGCAACATGTTCTTACATGGTGGGATTAACTCCATGCGCACACAGCTACGAGCGGCACGCAACTGGGTTTACTACACACACGCTGCACAGCTGAAGCACTTCTGGTTCAGGAAATCCCCAAAATAATGTACAGTAACCGACCACACGTGCTCTACGTCTGGCAGATCACCAGATGCACCACGGTGTGACGGGGCACCCACGCACCGTCTGGGTGTGGTGTCTACGGGCCATCCACGCAAGCTTACCTCATGCTCACGCTTCGGTGCCGAAAGGTGTACAATATATTCCAAGTGAAATAGGATCTTTTAATATCGCATATCCAAACAATAGTTCTCATTTCAAAATGCAAAACAGGTCCTTTGAAGATCAGCTGCTCCCAGGCTGCGTGAGCAGGGTGGGGTACAGCCGACTGGCACAACTGCCGAGGTCAGACCTCGTTTCTTTGGTCAAAGATACATGCCGGGAACAAACGCAAATGCAGAGTTGTACCAAAAGCATCCATTTAGAAGACTAATTATTACTCCGTGTCCCTTATTAGAGATTTGCATTTTAAAACAGTCATATACATTAAATAGCTCTCCGACATCTAAATAGCGAACATCTGAATGATTCTGCTACCCCCACCATTTTAAGAACAAGCAACACATGTGGGAGAGAAGGGAAACATTAAAAACAGGCTGTCTGTCTCACACAGTTTATTTAACAATAGGTAATAAGAAATCAATTTTTAACAGTCTATACAGTGATCGAAAGTTCATATTTATAAGTAATCAACTTTAATTGCATGATTTACAACATTTGAGGGTTTTTTGCTTTCTATTTTCAAGTTTTACAGAAAGTGGAAGAGGGTGGGGAAAGGGGCACGGGAGAGAGAAAGCAAGCATAAAGAAGAAACCCCAGGGACTTTTTCTCAGGTTAAAATCATCCGCTTGGAATTGTTTCTTACCCTCTTTTTATTTTTTTTTTCCTTTGTTAGATGTAAAAATAACGAAAAAAATTCTTTCAAGAAAACAGAAACCACAATATATATACTACATCCATTTGGCAGCTGCCCCTGTGTATTTGCAAAAATGTCTTCTCTCTACATGTACAAATCATTTTAATACTTGAAGTTTTTTTTTTTTTTTTAAGCTCAGACTCTTGTATAGAAAATTCTTGGAGGACAAAAGTAGACTTCGGGAAGGGACTGAGTTATTTAATATTTTTACATTTTTCAAATAATTGACATATTTCCAACCAAAGAGGAAAAGATCGGTATTTACTTTTATATATATATATTTATATATGTAATGTATTTTTAAAGCAACATTAACCCATTTTGTCCTCCGGTTTTAGGAAAAGGTTCTCCTGTGGTTTTTTTTTGTTGTGGTTTTTTTTTTTTTTTTTTTTTAGTGAA